ATGCTCTAGATTTAATGACTTGCTGAGTGTATTAGTTAGTTAGTGCTGCCATAAGAAAGTACCATAGACTGGTGAGTTAGCAACAGAAATGTGTTTTCTCACAATTCTGGAGTCTGGAAGCCTGAGATCAAAGTCAGTTCTTTTTGAGAGTTTGCGGGAAGGATCTGTTTAAGGCTTCTCTGCTTGGCTTATAGATGGCCGACTTCTAACTATGTCCTCACACGTCTTCCCATTGCATGTGTTTTTGTCCAAATTTCCTCTTCTCATGAGAACACCAGTGATACTGGATTAGGGCCCATGCTAAGGACCTCATTTTAACATATCTCTGTAAAGACCGTATCTCCAAATAGGGCTACATTCTGAAGTACTTGGTGTTAGGGCTTCAATGCCTGAGTTTTTTTGGGGATGCAGTTCAGCTTGTCATGCTGGGTGTCACGGCTATGCAGTGACTCTGACATATGGGTCTCCTGGTTTCCTTTGTTTTCTTGCCCTGCTGTGCCTCATCTCTGTATTTCTGATCCTGTGTCTCATCTTGCAGCCCACCTCAGCCTGGCTATTTCGATCCTGCCCCTGCTGCAACCTGAGGGCATGGCGGGGGCAAGGAGGGTGACAGCAGTGGTGGTGGACCCAAGTCTAGGAGCCCATCTGCCGGTCTCCCTGCTACTTACATAATGAGAAGGGGAACCTTCTATCTGGAAGCCAGTTGGTTGACAGGCCAATCAAGAGCCTTAGCTTGGTGCAGCAATGCATTAATTTGCTTAAGGAGAAATCAATGCCAAGGCACCGAAGTGGCCGTTTGGACACTAGTCAGATGAGTAGAAGCTATTAAAGAACTTGACAATGTCTTCTTCAGCAAAGATCTTTATGATTAAAATAAAGAGCCAGATATGCACACACATAGTGACAGCAACAACAGCAACAGCAACAGGGCAGTGCCATGATGTGCCTAACCCTGTATGTTTAGCAAGTCTGTGTTTTCATGAAAGGAAGGCATCATCTTGAGCTGTACTAACCAGTGATATTGAAAGGCTAGTTCTGGAGAAAAAGCGATTTATTCGTGAACAGAAATGCTAATGAAGTGCTTACTATGTGCCAGGCGCTATTCTAGACACTAGGAATTCCCAGGATATTGAAGGGCTTAGTCTCTGCTTCACTGAGGTTTTCATTCAGTAACCCCTTACTCAAAAGTCATTTAGCTCAAGGCTCAGTCCGAAAGGGGCCGCCTAATCTGTTCACTTTGTTGACTCTCTGTCTCCTCTCCTTGAATGGCAGCTCCAAGGGGGACAGGAGCTTGTTTCCTTGGCCCTCTTTTTGGTAGACCATTTGGCCTCAGTTGAGCTCAGGAGTTCAAGAGCAGCCTGGGCAACGTGGTGAAACCCCGTCTCTACCAACAATACAAAAAATTATTTGGATGTGGCGGTGTGTGCCTGTGGTCCCAGCTACTCAGGAGGCTGAGGTGGGAGAATCACTTGAACCTGGGAGGCAGAGGTTGCCACAAGCCAAGTTTGTGACACTGTCGTCCAGCCTGAGTGATAGAGTGAGACCTCATCTCACAAAAATAAATAAAATACAATAAAATAGTACTAATAATAGCTAGGAGTTATTGAGTGTTTACCTTGAGCTAGGAGGTGTGCATGCATTATCTCATTTAATCCTTATATCTGGGAAATAGGAAATGTTAAGATTCCTATTTATGCAGCTTTAGGGGCAAAGTCCATTTTCTAAGGTTACCAAATAATAAGTGGTGGATCCGATGGTTGAACCCAGGCAGTGACACGTGGAACTTGATGCTTCCGGTGTGAACCAGGTCACTTGGTGGCCTGCAGAGACCCCTAATTAACGGGAAGTATTGTTGTAGACCTTGTGATGTGGAGAATTCTGCCTTCATAGAGGTTGCTGTCTTACATATCTGACAGCATTAAGTCCTAGCTTTGTAGTTATTTTGGAAAATACTTCTGCCAGCATCTGAGGAAGAAGGTTGGGATTCAAATCTGTTAAACTCATAGGTCAAGTGTTTTCTAAACTGCAGAACACTGTGAAAATTTGATTTATATATAATCGCCATATCCACTGGCCCATAAAATCTGTGACTTCACTGGAGCGACTCCGCTGTTTGCTAAATCTCAAAAATAATTCCTTTCAAATGTGTCTTTCTTGAAGCAAACCCTGGGGTTAACTCTCCTATTGACCTGTGGGTGAAGGTGATTAACCCTCAAATTTGTCAACTCTGTGTAAATACAAACATAACTGGCTTCTAATGCTAAGTAAATAAAAGAGGATAGATGTACACTTTTCAGTGTGTGATACTAAGGAGAGCCTAATCAAGAGAAAAGAAAGAAATCTCTGGCACCATCTCAGAGAGGGACCCCTGTTTCCAGTCAAAGGAATTCCATTCTCTCAGCAGGGAGATAATTGACAATATGGAAAAAACAGCTGAAAAGGAAGTGCCCACTGGAGCTTTCAACTGGGTTGCCTAGGATGGAAGAGATAAAAACAGTTTTTGCCTGAGGTTCTGATTTCAGGACCCAAGTTCAAATATCAAAGGCATGCTGTCTCACCCCCATTTCCCCTTTGAAAGCCTAGGAGACCTGATCTGCAAAACCACTGAGAACAAACATCTTTAGCATCCCATCTGGCAACAGTCCCACATGTAAAATTGAAGAGGTGGGTGGGGGATGGGGGAGATTCAGCCTGTGACTTTCCTTTTACACCCTTGGTTTGGTTTCTGGAAATCTGTTCTCTTGGCCATGCAAGATTGCATCTCTTTATGGGCCCTTTGCGTTGTGATATGCTGGAACGGGCCAACCCCTTCATCACTCTCCTATTTCAGGTAAGGGTGATCCTGGCTTTCTGAGACAAAGTAGGAAGCTCTTTGGCATTTGTTGACTGTGATCTCTCATCCATTGCAAATGTTTCTCAAACCTGAAAACAAATGAAATAGACAAACACTTCCTTTGATAAGCATTTGAATCTCATGCCCCCACGCTGTGAGCCTTAAGCCTGCTGCCCACAAGAAGGTAAGTTATAATAAGCCTGTATTCTCAAACATTCTCTCAATTCCCACCATGAAGACACTTTGGATGAGTGCACTATCAGTTAAAAGCTACTCCTGTCTTCCTAGAGACATGGCACCACTATGTGCTTTTGTAAGCTACCTGTGCTTCCTGAGATTTGGATAGGTCTTTCTCGGAGGGGATATCACTCCTGGTGAAAATCACTGCTCTAAAAATCCGGAGAAGCAGAAGAGAAATCAAGAGACGGGGCTCCTCATTATATACTGCATCACTCCCTCAAGCCAGCCGCCACCCCGACCCCCAGCTTGTGGCCGGGGCAGTGGGGCTTGTGTAAGACCTTTCTGCAAAACCCAGCAGAAGTCCTGGAATCAGAAAATGTTGCTGCTCCATCCTGTGCCCCTGGAAAAATCACCTCTTGAGAATGGCAGGACTCTGGTAAACAGCAATTCTCAAAGGGCTGTCCAGGACCAGCAGCATCAGCATCAGCTGGAGTCTGCCCCAGACCTGCTGAATTGGATACTCCAGGGGTGGGTTTTTAGCACCAGAGGAATCATGATCCCTCCAGGCAGCTCCGATGCACACCCAGATTTAACAGCCCCACTGTACTAGAAAAACTCCTCCTTAGAAGGTTAGAAACAAAACCTCCCAAATAATTGATTCTTATTTCCTTAGAAACAAAAGCAGGGCTGTATTTCTAGCATCAGTTATTTGGAAATACCTATAGGCAGTTTATGTTTCTCTTCTCAGACACAACTGTGCTAATCCAGGGTTCTCAGGCAGGAAGATTTGCAAGCAGTCCTGATTTAGGTTCTTTTGAAGGCAGAGAATGGCTAAATTGATCTAAGATCAGTGGTCCTTAGCATTACCCACTGTTCTCAGTCATTCATTTGCTTATTTAGCCATTGAATCATTCATGTGTTTTACAATTTATTGAGCACTTTTATTCCGGGTACTGTTCTATTAGCACTTTTGTTTCAGGTACCATTCATTAAAGTAATAGTGAAAACTGCAGTTACTTTTGCACCAGCCTAATAGTAGGGCACGAATATAATTTGTCATCCATGAAGGATTAGATTTGAATGAGCCAATTGCACTGCCAGTTACTGCTGTGTGACCCTGGGCTGACTAAGCTCTCTGTGGCTCAGTTTCCCTGTCTATAAAATGGGGCCAGTAGCTAGCTACTTTATAGATAATGTAGGATTAAATGAGCTAATGAATAAAATTGCTAAGCACAGTGCCAGGACCACACTCGAGAAATGGAATTGATTATTCCTGATGTGATGTCTAGGGATCAGTGAGATGTTCTTTCTGGCCGGAGTAGAAACTTCTGTTGGGAGGTTGGAGAAAAGAAGATTGAGGCCAGCTTGCCTATCAGCGATTCTGAATGATGGATGCACATTAAAATCTCATGAGGAGTTTGTAAAAAATGCTGATGCCTGGGTCTCACCCCCAAAGATTCCAGTTTAATTGACCAGGCTGAAAAATACAGGCTTAATCCTGCAACAAAGAGGAAAGGAGCCTGCTCTAGAAACTTGTCTTGGTCTGATCATTTATCATCAGTGAATTCCAGGGAAGAACGTGTGTCTGGCGGCAGTCACCAGTGAGCCGTGAGCGATACCTTTGGGCTTGTGTTTACTTAGTTAGCTGTTGGGTTGCTGCCCTCATCAGAGACTTGGAGCCCCATGAAACAGTTTGTTGTACTTGGCAAAGCAGTGTATTATGCTTGTGTTTACTCTTTTGAACCCATGGCAAATTGTTGAACATTTTAACACACTCCTTCTGCCGCTAGATTCACGAGTTTCACATGAAGTCCCTGCAGACTGGATCCAAATTGAGGACTCACCCCTGTTCGCAACACAGCACGGGAGAGTTCTCTTCACTTGTAATCATGTGAACGAGCTCTTCAGCTGTGAGCCTGTCCAGCCACGTTTCTAATGAGTTTCCTATTAAGTTAGCTGTTTGACCTTCAAGTTATTATTTTCATTGTTTTTTTTTTTTTGATTACACCCAAGTCATTTTTCTAGAGGCTGGAGATCAGAAGCAAAACAACTATACACTAATGCTACTCCCAGGCTGTCCTGCCTCTCCCTCCTGGGTTTCCTGGAATTCAATATTTTCTAGTGCCTTAAATAATGCTATTTATACCTGATACTAACTTTTAAAGGATATTTATACATGACATTAACTTTTAAAGGAAAAGAAAAGACTCTATTGCCCTTTGGCCTGGGATCTTTTGGAATGAACTGGGATAACTTTCTTACTTTGCACAGGCAGTCACCAGCATGCATTTGGGAAGGCTCACAGAACACAGAAAGGGGCCTCCGCAATGGCCGTGTACAACAGCGGGGATTTGGATATTGAAAGGGGGGTCAGATTAGATGGACTGTAACTTTTAACCTGTGGAATCTGGGAATTTTTGATTTGGGGAATTAGTGCTCCCCACCATGACTTCTGACAGCAGGCGTGGCTGGTAGGTATGACTCAGAGATTGACACCCATGCTTGGAACAGCCCTGGGGACCAAAGAATGGAAGAGAGCTAGGCTTGCCCTCACCTCAGCCTTAACTGGGGGCCACTCAAGTCCTCTGAGGTCTTTGAGTGTTCGTTCACTATATCTACTATTCTCCCACCTCCAACCCGTCACACATATACCCCAAGGGCATGAATGTAACCTTGGGTGTGGATTCTGCCAGTGCATACCCATAATTCTGCATTTGATGTCTTCCTTTGATTCCCTTTGCTGCTGAATAGGAACTGCTAACACTTCTGCTTACTCTTGCTGCCTTGTGCTGTGATAATACAATGTGACCTAAGGTAGAGGCTTCACTTTAGCAGAGGAAGATCCTGTGGGGCAGAAAGGCTAAGTAACTTGCCAAGGTCACCCAGCTGGGATGTGGCTGGAGCCAGAGGTGTGATGACTACGGGCCTGGCCTTTCCACCCTGGTGAGGTGGTGAGGGTGAGATGAGCCCCTGAACCAAAGCCCTCTGCTGGGGTTCCAGGGGTGGAAGACTAAGCCTGTCTTCACAGAAGGATTTCTACCCCTGTCACTGCCAGAACTGGGAACATGTTTTTTCAGAAGTTCATGGCATCAAGTATAAGAGCCCTTGCTTCTGCCTGGGGTAGTTGTGAGAGGTTCTGATCAATTGCCAGGGCTTTCTTACATTCTGGATTGTGTGAATGTGTTTTTGTGTGTGTATGTGAGAGAGTGTGTGTGTGTTGTGTATGACACAAAGGCTGAGACAGAGGAATAGAGGGAATCATCAGGGAGGTTGTGAAGTGTGTGTGTGATGTGGAGTGTGTATCATGAGCCTGTGGTGATGGCTGATAGAGCCCATTGCCACCTTAGGGCCCTGCTTCGTTTCTAGAAATGCTCCCCCCACGGATGGTTGTGGAAGGAGGGTGGAGCCCAGTGGCTCGTCCCGCGTGGTGTTGTCAAGTCTCCTCTCCCACACAACTCCTCTCTCTATTCTGGCCATGTCCCCTGCCTTCCTAGGATTGGATATTGGGTCCCCAATGTCACTATTAATCCTAGCAGGTACGGATGTGTTTTGGCAAGGCTTCTGCATACCCACTTGTGCAGGTGGCTTTACATTTTCTTAACCATTTCTCCTGCCTTCCGTGGAGTCCATTGCTGGCAGTGGGTGGCCTTGTTGGCTATGGTTCTCTTCGAGCATGCCAGCCAACATCCAAAAAGAGTTTTGGTTCAAGAAAAGACAGTGAGTGAACCAAAAAGCCCTTTGTTGTGCAAACCAGGAACCACACTGAATCAACTTGGACCGATTTATTGACAGCCAGGGAGATGCCAGTTTAAATTTCTCCTCCTCACTGCCCTGGGCTTTCAGATTCAAGAGATCAGAGGACCATTTAGTGAAGCCATGAGCCCACAAGGTGTTTGAAATTGAGTTCTAGGGAGGAAAGTTTTGAAGAATGAATCTGTATTGACTAAATGACTCAATTGGTTTATAGACAGTTCTTTCAAAGGAAAGATCACTTCATTTTTGAAGTGAAAAGTAAGCTACTTTCTGTGAGGATTGTACTGACCTTTAATAAAAGAGCACCCTCGAGGAGTGGGAAGGTCCTTCAGTCTGAGATTTTGGGAAAGTGACAAAAATGATGCTGCCTAGGGAGGCAATGCTGGGGAAGGAATGGCAACACCCTGGATGTCACCTAGGAGATGGAGCTGATAGAAGGCAAAGGTGTGGAGAGAATTCTCACGGGGCTACTCCTAGGCCCCAGGCCTTTTTTATTAAAACCAACAGATGGGCTGGGTACCGGGGCTCACGCCTATAATCCCTGCACTTTGGGAGGCCAAGGCAGGTGGATGGCTTGAGTTCAGAAGTTGAGGCCAGCCTGGGCAACATGGCGAAACCCTGTCTCTACAAAAAAAAAAAAATTACAAAGATTAGCCAGGAGTGGTGGCACATGCCTATAGTCCCGCTACTTGGGAGGCTGAGGCAAGAGGATCACTTAAGCCTGGGAGGCAGAGGTTGCAGTGAGCCAAGATCATGCCACTGCACTCCTGCCTGTGTGACAGAGTAAGACCCTATCTCAACAAACAAACAAACAAAAAACTCAGCAAATGACACTTCCTCCTTGGAGGTTACAGAAAGAAATCTTCCCTTTTTAAAATTGGTCCTCAATGTCTCCACTTTCAAGATCTCTTTCTTCCTAAATGGCCCGGTGTAGGTGTACTTGGCTCTCACGTGACCAGTGGAAACTTAAAATCCCAGGATCTCCTCTCTCCTCAGCGTTTCCCTCAGGCCAGAGTCCTGTTTTTATAATACACATTTTCTCAAGGTCTACAAGTTGTGTTATTAACCTCGAGAGCTGCAGGAGGCAATCGCTGGGAGCTGGGTCATTGCCTGGTTATGAAAGCCAGATGATCAGAGCGCAGAATGAGACTGTCAAACCGAACATCTCATGAAATTCAGGATTAATGTGGAGAAGTAGCTGTTGCTATAGCAACCAATCCCTGCTTTCCTTTGAAATGGAAAATAAACAGCAAACAAGAAAAATAATTCAAGTCGGTGTCTGGGAAGAAGGAAGGCCTGCCTGTGGAACAGTCGAAGAAAAAGGAGAGTTCGGGTATTCTAGGATATGTTGAAACAATGGTGAAATCATCTCAAAGGCAAAACCCAAGTCATTTTGGGTGGTTCAGTTCCATGCCTGCTTTCTCTAGAAATCTTTTCAGGTCCCTTCTGGCTGACCTTACTGATATTTCTGTCTGATTGTCCAGGTACTTAAAGTCTCTACCATACAGGTTAGCTCTTGAATTATTTTATGAGTACTGGTCATTTCCCACTCAAAAGCAACTCCTTAGGGGTAATGACTGTGCCTTCTTCTCTTTTGTATTCCCTTTAACTTGTAGCAAAATGCTCAGATAAATGCCTCAAATAGGCTGATAATAAAGCTATTTCAGAAAAAATCAGTGAGGTTGGCTCCATTTAATGAAGGAGAACCTTTATTGCATATAATGTGAAAAGCAGAAATGGATGATGAAGGAAGGTGGTGGAGAGTCACGGCAAGCACATGCGCTTTTGAGTGGCACAAATTTGCTAGCCAATCTTACTGGGTATCTACCCAACAAAAATGCGTCCAGATATGCATCAAAAGACTTGCACAAGGATGTCCACAGCAATACTGTCCATAACAGCCCTTGACTGGAAACAGCCCAAGTGCCTATCAACAGTAGAATGGATAAATAAACCGTGATACATTCATATCATGGAGTACTCTAGAGCAATGAGAATGAACAGGCTTTGACTCTGGCTCTCACGTGGCCAGTGGATGCTTTGAGCATTGAGCAACGTAGATTATTCTCACAAACATTATTCATGACAGAAGAAGGTATACTACAAGATTCCATTTTTTAAAACTTCAAAACTCATCTATGATTTTGGTTTCATATTCCTCGTATTTATAATATTGATGTATCTGTATATTTCAGGAGATGATTAATAACAGAAAGAGGACATGGCAGGGCTGCTTGCAGGGGGCTAGCAGTGCTGTTTCTTGATGTGAGTGCTGGTGCCTTATTTATTTATTTATTTATTTATTAGAGATGCGGTCTCTCTGTGTTGACCAGGCTGGTCTCAAACTCTTGACCTCAAGCGATCCTCCCGTCTCGACCTCTGAAAGTGCTGGGATTACAGGTGTGAGCCACTGTCCTCAGCCCTGGTTCCCTGTTTATAAAGCAGGGATAACATGGATCCCTATCACATAAGCTTGTTGTGAGGAATAAATGTCTTAATCTGTGACACGTAGTAACTGTTCCATAAATGTTAACTATTCTTATTACAAGCTTTCTAGGGAAGGAGAGATCCCTGTCTGGGAAGTCTCCTGGAAAAATCGAGCCCCAAACAGTTGCTTAGGTCCAGGAGCCCAGATGCTATCCTGTAACTTGCTTCTGTCGCTTGTATTGTTCTCGGCGATGTTGGTTGCCTGTCTGACTCACCTGCAGCTCCTTGTGGGCCTTCAAGGTCTTGTGTTTTATTCATCACCCTTTTCTTTCTCTCCTCCTATTCCCAGGCCCTGCCAGCTGCTGGTAGTTCTGTTTCTGGCCTGTTTCCTTCCTCGTGCTGACCCTTCTACCTGGCCTGCCTTTCCTCCCCCTCCGAACCAGGAAACGTCTTCTTTTGGGATCCCCCAATGCCATCTGCATAGTAGGTGCTTTCTGCTGTGCTAAAATCCAGGCTCTGCACCACATGGCTGTGGCTCCAGTGCTGTGGGCTGACTCAGGCTGAGCTAAGTTTCTATTCAGGGATTTAATTTTCCTGGTAGGCCTGGCATGTCAAGGGCCATGGTTTTCCTTACCATTCTGGAGCCACCAGGCTTCTGGGTAAAACTGTCTGGCCAAGAGACACAGGCTTTCATTTTTCAGAAAGGAAACCCTTCCCAACTGGTGGAAAATAAGCTTTTGCTTAGTGACTAATAACATAAACACAGACAAGATTTCTGGGCTTATAAATAACCAGTTGTAAAAGTGCCCAAGGGAAGCAGCCCTTTTTTTGCTAGAAGAATGGCCAAGAATATTCCTGTCACCTTGAGCATGGGCAAAGGAGCATTGGGCTGAGGGTGCGGAAGCTGCTCATTCTTCAGTATTAATTCCCAAGGCCTTGCTGTTATACATTATAAATCCTGGACTGTTCTGGAAAAATAACACCTGATTTCTTAGGTCCTTTCCTGCTAAAAAATCCTGTGATTCTGCGGCAGCCACAACATGTTTTAAAGACTGATGCCAGCAGGGAGAGGAAAGTCTTAGGGTTTTGTTTTGCCTGAGCTGCCTAAGTGGCAGATGAAATAATTATGAGAACAGCTTCCATTTGTTGAGCACTGGCAGAGGCACTGTGCTGAGGGTGATAGACCTGTGAGGCTATTACTAGTCTCATTGGACTGATGA